TTAGTGGCGTCGAGAAGCGCACCTTGGAAGCACTTGGCGCCATGGACGAAAGATACCACGAGGATGTCGGGCAGCGCGGATTCGACGGTCACGAGGATCTTGTCGCCCGTGGCGAGCGCGAGGTGCGCGGATGGGGCCTCCGCCGCCGCGGCCGCCATCTTGCCTCGAGTTTAGAGTTATTGCGAGCGAGCGTGCGAGTAAGCTGGTAGTATGTGGTGTGGTGTGGGCTTTGCGCTTTCCGCTCCGCTCCGATACGACCGAGCCGACCGAGAGGAGCGAGCGGCTCGTCTCGTGTCGTCGTCGTCTCGTGCGCCGCACCGCGACGCACCACCCCTTGTTTCTTTCTCTCTCTCTTTCTTTTTCTCTCTCGCTCGTTCGCTCGCTCGCAGTCTGTCTGAACCGGATGACGTGAGGAACGACGGCTGCGGCTGTGTGTGGAAGCCGCGTGAGGCGGGTGGTAAGGTTTACGATTAGAGGACGGGTGGGGGGTGAGTGGGAGGGATGGAGGGGCTAGAGGGGAACGGTGTGAGATCTGGTAGATGGAGGGGAGTAGCCTGACGGCCTACACAGCTGCGCTGCCGCTCCCGGTGCGCCTGCGCGCGCTGTAGGCGGATCACAGTACCAGGTCTGTATATATGAAGAATCGCTCAAGAGGACCCTGGAGCCAAAATTTATTTTCCAACCGATAAACAATGGTGCTAACCAACTCCAGATTTCTAGAGGAGCAAGTTTGCGCAAATTCACAGAATATCAATAACGTAATCCCATCTGAGTGGCTACATTGATTTTTTGATTTTTCGAAGTTTTTGATACCAATTAAGGTGATGGATGATGACGCGAGATCAGATTGGTTGAGACTGTTGCAATACAACAATATTTCTAACATTATGAATGCAGCCTAGCGCGAATCTTCCCGATGAAGGGTGCGTTCGCCGGTGTCAGTAGCGTGGCAAGGGGTCTTTTCGTGCGATCGTAGTATGCGATACCATTTCTTCTGGATTCGGCGCTTGCGGCGCATCTTGGTTCGGCTTTTATCGTCGTTGTAACAGAGCGGCCGAAAACGGCCGAGCGCAGTTCCAGAGACAACGTGTGTTTCACAGTGAGTGGCTAGGATTTATTCTTTAATATAAAACATTGCATAAGCTCTTCAAGGAGACGCGAGAGCAGCGAAGATAGATCGCTTTTATGCCTAATCTGCCCGGTAATGGCGTAACCCTCTTTCTTCATGTCTATGTTGATGACATTTAATGTAAAAAGCGACCGGTTAATCAATTGCTCCAACCACTGTGCCGGTGGCACCCTCCTGAAAACTGGGTCATCACTTCGACCGCTGGGTTTTCTGAGAGCGCGAAGTCGATATCGAAGGTGACAAGTGTTGAAAAAGATAAAGTGACATATAAAAGACATATTGATAATGCGGAAAGTGCGTACTTTCGGCGTGTGACACGTCTGTTAAGCTCTGCTCACAAGTTTTTACTGAAAACAATTTAGGTTTGTCCACACTGACTAAATAACAGAAGAAACAGAGAAAAAAGATTAAAGATTAAAAAATCTTATTTGATTGATGATAAGATCAATAAACAAGAATGAAGAAAAAAATTAAAAATGAAGACATTTATTTATGAAATAAATCCTTCCTAATTGTAACAAAAAGATTAATAAAATTCGTTTATTAAATCAATTTAAGATGTGTTTAATTAAATTGGCTAACGATATGAACGAAAGAAAGGAGTTTTACTTAATTAATTGTTACAATTTCTTCTGTTATTCTACTGCTTCACTTAATAAAAAATATGGGGTACTTGAGATACGTGATACGCTCTTGCGCAATTACGGACTTGCATTCGAATGATTAGCGGCGACTGATATATGTGAATGGCACAACACCGATAATGCATAACGAGAAAGAGACGATGCTTATCTATCAATTCTACCGTGACGTTACTAGCTAACGACACAACATCACTTCGACTTTTGCGGAATGTTTTTTTATCTTATTTACGTTTTTTGCTTACCAGATTTAGTCAGGATTGGACTTTCGATTATTTTGCAGCTTTTTTGCTACAGAAAATGTTCTAATCTAATGAGATACTTTTTTTATTATATAATAAAACGTTTTACTCTATACACTATACTAAAATGCAGATATTGTATTCGATTATTTTCAATTGATTTGCAGTAATAATCTAAAAATTAAATCTCGTATTTTGCAATTGATAATCGAATGCATATTTACACAAATGCAAATTTCCAAAGTCTTGCATTCGTAATTGAAGCTTGAATTAAATTACTGAACTAATGAACTGAATTATTATAAAAAAAAAATTAAAATTTTCATCAAATTTATGGAAGTCTGAGGCACCATTGTCTTATTAAAAAATCTTCTGGAGATTTAAAAATTCTTTAACATGTAAAATGGAAATAAATTTAAGAAAAAAAGACGAAAAAATAAAGGGGAACAAAGAAATAAATCTGTGAAAACAAGTTGACGTCAAAATCGTTATTGAACAATGAAAGATTAATTTACATCAAATAATTTCGCAGTTTGTTTTCCGTCAAGTATGCTCTTAAGGAAAATTTGCATGTATTATATATCAGCTTTTATCTTTTACTCTATAACTGTTATCTGTTACGCTCATCCTACTTGCGGAAAAATATTACGTAACATCTCGATGACAAGGAACGAAAATTACTTTGTGTATATTAAAAATGTTCGACCGCAGCGCACTATTTTCATGCACGGAGCTCGCGCACTGAAACTATAAATATATTCTCATTTTGTCGGACTTCTTAACGTAACATTACGAAGGGAAGCAACGGCTTATGCGAAACGTATGATCGCAAAGAACATCAAGCGACCGATTTAAGATCCATTTGTAAAATATACTTACAGTACGTATGTCTTTTACTAAAATATTACTCCAGCGCCTTGGGACGCTCTACGTATTTTTTTTATTACGCGTATAAATCGAATGAAAATTTTTCAATATACTTATAAGTAACAATAAATATATATAAGAACATATATCAGGTATACTATTGAAGAAAGATATTAACATTTTAAAAAATATAATATATTAATTTAAACACATTGTTAATTTATTCGCTTTACGAATTATATTTTTGATTAAAAATCTGTGCTAGATATCTCTTAATTGGATGACGAATACGATGACGAATGAGAGATTGGATCTAGACAAGCCTTTGTGGGATCAAAATACCTTCGTGGGAAGATGGAAATATTTTGCATGGATGACCGATTTCCGCACTTGTATCGTGCCGGAATCGCAATTGTTAGCCGCTAAAAATTTGTGCGAACAGTACAGGTGATGATAGAAAATATATATTAGTTTTAGAAAAATTTCTTATCTTTTAGCAACAACGCGCGTTAAATTCGAGGAACTTCTAGCATTGCCAATAATATTAAATAATTCTATTAAATTATTCTCTTAATTTTTGTTGATTTATTTAATATTATAATTTATTAGTTAATTCTTAAATTAATTAAAAATTGTAAGATATTCATTTATTTAATTTAAATTTCCATAAATATATATATATAAAATAAAATTAAATCAAATTAAATTAAAATTTGTTATTGAAAATAACGATGCTGCAATACAATGAGATGTTTTATGCACCTTATTCTTGACCTTCAGCATCTTCCAATCATTTGAAAATCTCCGTACCTTGTATCTTGTAGAATTGGCAAGGAGCCAGCCGATTCTACCAGAGAACAAATCATATATGCGAAGAAGCTGTACGAGTCTGCCTTTCATCCCGACACCGGCGATCTGCAAAATGTTTTTGGTAGAATGTCCTTCCAAGTGCCGGGAGGAATGGCCATCACCGGTGCTATGCTTCAATTTTACAGGTATCTTGCAGAAATTGATTCCACATCATGGTCATTGAAGTCCTTTTGTTCGACCATGTCGATATCTTGAAGAAATTAGAAATTTTTGGCAAAGAAAAGAAATACAACATTAATTAATTCTAATAAAAAATGATATTTTATTGATTAAGCTTTCGTTATTTTCTCTAAAACTTAAAAATTTATTGCATGATATGAAACAAAATATTGCTTCTTTTTTATTAATACTTAATATCGATTCGATCTAGAACAACTCAAGCGGTGGTTTTTTGGCAATGGGTCAATCAATCCTTCAATGCGTTGGTCAATTACACTAACAGGAATGCTAACAGTCCTATAACCACCACTCAATTAGGTGTAGCTTATGTTAGTGCAACCGTCGCAGCGATGATAACTGCGATAGGATGTAAATCGTATTGGGAGAAGCGTGCGAGTCCGCTAATGGCTGTAAGTTTTGCAAGAATAATTCAGAAGTGACATACAATATCTCATAGATTGTACATTAAAAAAACAACAGTTCTTTCTTTTTGGCATGCAACTTGATTTTAATCTCTAAAAAGATCGTATTAGAGATTTATTTTTAGAGCACCCTATATATATAGTTAAAACAATCCCAGACCTGTCTCAGATTGTTGAAAACTTGGAATATAAAAAATATATATATATATTTATTTATTTTAGAGGTACGTTCCGTTTGCTGCAGTGGCAGCCGCTAATTGCGTTAATATTCCTCTAATGAGGCAGAACGAAATTATGAACGGAGTAGATCTCGTTGATGAGAACGGCAAAAAACTTACAAAATCAAAGGTATATATTATCTATTACTAGTTGATAAATTTGTTAACCAATTTTACATATACGCAAACATCAATACGTATTTTATCTAATTATGAGTTTGCAAGACAAGATAATATTAAAATTGTTACAAATGGTTGTTGCAAATTTTGTTAACTTCACTATAGAATTTCTTAATAAATATTAATAATATTTTCAGTTCGCGGCTGTAAAAGGCATTAGTCAAGTCGTCATTTCGAGAATCGTCATGTGTGCACCCGGCATGCGTATGTATCAAACAATATGCATCTTAATTTAAATTATTTATTACAATTTTTTCTAAATTTAGCAGCGTTGTATAGTAATACATAACTAATTACACACAATGATAATAAATTTCTTTAGTTATTCTACCGCCCATAATGGAAAGATTGGAGAAATATGCGTGGATGCAGAGAATTAAACCACTACACGCGCCAATACAAATTATGATGTGTGGAATTTCGTAAGTATCACTTTCTTCCTTATTTTGATACTTATTATTGTCATAAAATTGTTATTATTAATTATTACATAAATTTTGCGTCAAATGTTCCAGACTGACGTTTATGGTGCCAACGGCATGTGCGCTATTTCCACAAAATTGGTAAACAATACTTCTACATCTTATCTCTGAAAATATTTTCCTTTATATTGTATTTTTACTTTTATTACATAATTTTGCAGCTTCATCAAGGCGACTACCTTGCAGCGCTGGGAGCCAGAAAACTATGAGTTATTAAAGAAGAACTGCGAGGATGGCAAACTGCCGACATATTTGTACTTTAACAAGGGATTATAATGTTATGAAAAGTTCTAGTCCTGTCTTGTATGTTGTTCCATCCTTTATAAATATTGTTGAAATGAGACAGTGATGGTAACTCTTCTGCTGGATCAGAAATAAATTAATATTACTGTTATTATTAGAGTCAATTAGAGTCAATTAGAGTCAATTAGAGTCAATTATTGAGTAGACACTCTTTGAATTTGATGTTGAAAATTTTCACGGAATTTTTTTTTTATGATTTTAATTTAAATTTTGCTGCGTTGTGATTTTTCATAATAATATTTAGATTAGAGTTTAGCTAACTTTCAATTAAGATTTAATTACAAGAACAAATATCTATAGGGTAATAAAATAAAAAAAAATTCCATCAACATGCTGAAATATTTTACAGTAAGACAGATTGGTCACAATGTAATGGATACGATAGTAAAGGACAAAATGTTGACAATATAAACTGGTGCTTTTCAAGCTATATAATTATAAACTGTAGCAATAATTTTATTTTAGTAAGTGCTTAATGATTCTTCTCAGGCGTATTAGTATTAATTTATATGTTTCATATGTTTTAAAAGCAACATGACTTAAATACTGAAATTTTACTTAATATTATCAAATTTTGAGAAGCCTGTCGAAAATAAAAATGCTGCCACATATAATAAGACGATAAAAGACTTTGCTACACGTGTAATTAATAAAAGATATAGTAATATCACGAATGTTAATGTATTAATAAATCTTCGATAATTAAATAGTCATTATTTTCAATAGTTACTCAAGAGTTTCACTGATTAAATGGAAAATTCAATAATAATGTGCATAATATAATAATATAACTTTATTTATTTTTATTTATATTGGCTACAATCCCTTGTTATAATAAATTTTATCCGGATGTTTGCGCTGACCCATTTTTTCCTGAAATACTTCATATTCTTCTGGACTTATCTTTAACATTTCCGGTTTCATCGAGCTTGATAAGAAAAATCATATTAATAACAATACATTAATTCTCATTAAGAAATATTTATTTTTTTTAAGTAAGAGATATTTAAAATTAACTTAGATTCTTACTTTTTCTGTGGAAAAATGGCGAGTGCCGAAGGAATCATGACCAACAAACTATATTAATGAGAAAAAAATTATTAAAATACTTACGCCAATTATATTTTATTAATGTTAATTTTTGCACACTATATTTATGTGGAATTTAACAACATTATATCAACATTTAAATATTTTGTGAGAATTACAAGAGAGTGCATAAGCCGATTTCGACGGGAAAAATGAGCCACGGGCGAAATTGATAGAAACAATGCGATCGCATTTGTTCTGTGATAATTGGAATCATCAACATTCCTGGCGCGGCCATTGCTATCCTCGAGAAGATGCACTCAGAGATACCTTTGACGGCGGCCACCTGCGATCTCATGATGCATACTTCATCAGTATCGCATCTTTTCATAAATACGGGAATACCTCGTTTGATCTCTCGTTGCCTCATGATGGGAAGATTCACTATGTTTCCAGCAGCCACTGCGCAGAACGGAGCGAATCTCTGCGATAAAGACAATTTCTTGAGATTCCTTGATATAGTCAATTTTCCGAGATGTAAAATAAAAAGAAACTCAAATTTTAAAAGAATAATTATATAAAATAGCAAAACTCAAGAAATCTCGAATTTTATTAGATCTACGAATCTATAAAAATTTATTTGGCAATTAGTTGTTTTGAATAGGAGGAGATTAAAAAATATTTTTAACGATATCTCTTTTTAATGTTTGTACTACTTAAGTGGGATGAGAAATTCAAAGAAATATGGAAAAAAAAGTAGATGTTAAGTTAATTAACTGCAAAGAAGGTTCTTTTGCCGGAAAACAGCTTTCTGAATCCCAATGCAGCCGCGCAACTCGCCGTGGTGGCGAGAACGAAGGCCTGCCGGATAACGTCGGTGTCTTGCGGATCGTCGCTCATCGCGTTTCGATTGGTATAATTGACAACCGCGTTAAAACCCTGATTAACCAGTTGGCACGTTATCACGCCGAAGGCAGATCTGACGGAAATATCACGCATGATAAAAATAGAATCAAACGAGATTCTATTTCTAAATAGAATCTAACGAGATTGATCAGGAATTTGTGCATGTGGAATGGATTATTTATTATTTGTAGAAAGTTAACTTGTAGAAGGTCAACATGGCGGCGGTGAGGGCAACGCAACCTGGCAGCTGGAAGGACATTCTGCCTATCACATTCATGAGCTCGTTGTTATCGGGATGGAAGGCGCTGTCTTTGAGCTTCTTCGCGTAGATTATATCCTTTCTCTTCGTACATTTCGGTTCTTTCCCAGCTCTGAATAACAAATAAAATAATTGCACGTGTCTTTTATTTTTTCTAGATAATAAATAATAATAAAGATTGATTTTTAAAAAGCCTTAGTATTGTATTTAATAGTCGATAATTTAATTTTCTTAGCATTAAAAGGGTAGTAAGTTGATTAGGTTAAAAGTTGAATTTAGAAAGTAAGAGAGATTTTGTCATCATAATTTACTTGTAGTCCTCGCACAGCTTTTTTGCTTCCCATAATTTACTCTCCGGCACGAGTATCGTGCGGCAGTCCGTGATAAAGGCGTAATGCATCCATCTTCCGAAGTACGTGTCCTGATTCCAAAGTGGCTTATCGACGTCAATTCTATCTTCGGATTTATCCCCAAGATCGTCCTTTCTCTTCATTGTTGTTCGCGCAACTGACAGCGTCTCTCCTGTTACTTGATAATACAAATTTACGATTAAAAATACTATAAGCATATATAAGAGTATGTACATAAAAATGACAGCTACGTCAAATGCAAACTACTAGACTTGGTTAAATAAATTTTTGTGATAACTGTATTTACTTCGTTTTAGATAGAGTGAAATAGCAGATTAAGAATAAGAAATGTGTAATAATTCTGATGTAGTTTCAAATATTCTTTGTCTCATGTTTATTTATTTTGTTTAGCGTAAATGACACTTTTTAACTGTTATAACAATATTTGACAGTACATTGTGAATTTGTATTCACTTGCATCGAGACCATTTGATATAAAAAGATGCCTGCGTTTTTTTATATTAAACTAGAACACTATCGAGTGCGCACTTTTTGCGCGCCACTTATTTTCTAACATTTTTTTTATTTTTATTTTTAATTTTTTTATTTTAATTTTTTTTTAATTAATTTAGAGAGAGAGACAGACAGAGAGAGAGAGAGAGAGAGAGAGAGAGAGAGAGAGAGAGAGAGTAG